TCAGGCCACTTAGAATGAATATATAGAGATTGTTGGAGTAATTAGAAATTACACAAAGAAGACTAAGGACCACCTTGGAATTAAATCCTGGCAAGGACATCAAGGACATCAAGAAGAGCTTTTTTAAATATATCAGTTACAAAAGGAAAACCAAGGATGATATGTCTCTGTGTGTTCCTAAACGGAGGGGAGATCCTGGTAATAGTGGATGCAGAGAAGGCAGAGTTCCTGAGTGCCTTTCTTTGCATTGGTCTGTACTGGTTAAGACCAGCCCACGGGGATCTCTGGCCCGGGAGACCAGGCTAAAGGAATGTTGGAAGGAAGACTATCCCTTAGTGTGGTAGCAGTTCTCTGGCCACACAGAGCAGGCACAGACTTTCCCAGGCATTTTTCCAGGGAAGGCTGTGAGAAGATCAGAAAAAAGAATGAAAAACAATTCTTATCTCCACTTGTTGCACCTGCTGTTCTGCACATGTGGAATGTGTCTTGGAGATTTGTGTACCAAAGGGTGATTTTTTAAGTGGACACTGAATGGTGTTTGGATGAATTGACCAATTAGGTCAAAGCTGTATCAGACTGGCTGTAAAGGTTACTGAATTTCTTAATAGTATAGTATAGTATAATATAAGATTATATAATAAAGCAATTGTTCATCCTTCTGCAATCATGGAGTCAATGCTAATTATTACCCAGCTGGGGGCCTGCAGTGACACCTTAGCAAGACTTTCCTTTCAAGGAGGACTAGGTGAATGCCTTGGCAAACTCAACATCCACAAGTCCTTAGGCCCTGACAGGATGTGTCCATGAGTGCTGAGGGAGCTTGTGGACACCAAAGTGAGGCCACTCCCCATTATCTTTGAAAGGTCATGGAGATCAGGAGAGGTGCCTGGGGTTGGAAGAAAGCAAATGTCATTCTGGTCTTCAGAAAGGGCATGGAGGAGGACCCAGGGAACTCTGGGCCTGTCAGAATCACCTAAATCCCTGAAAAGGTGATGGGGTACCTCATGCTGGAGGTCCCCTCTTCCCCACATGGAAGGACAAAAAGGTGATCAGGAATGGTAAGCATGGATATACTAAAGATAAATAATGCCTGACCAACCTGATTGCCTTCTACAATGAAACATCTACCTGGGTGGCCAAAGGGAGAGCAGTGGATATTGTCTACCTGGATTTCAGCAAGGCTTTTGACATAGTCTCTCACAACATCCTACTTGGGAAACTCAGGCAGTGGTGTCTGGAGGAGTGGATAATGGGCTGGACTGAGTTACTGGCTGAACAGCAGAAGCCAGAAGGTTGTAATTAGTGGCACAGGGGCTCATTAGAGGCCTGTCATTAGTGGCGTCCCCCAGAGTTCACTCCTGGGCCCACTATTGTTGAACTTGCTCATCAATGACTTGGATGAGGTGGTCAGTCCCTCCCACAGGGTCGCTGTGCATCCTCTCAGAGGGATCTCAGCAGCCTGGGGATGGGCAGAGAGGAACCTTCTGAAATCCAACAAGGGCTAAGACATGGTCCTGCACCTGGGGAGGAACGGCCCCAGGCACCTGCACAGGCTGGGGCCAACCTGCTGGGAAGCAACTTTGTGGAGAAGGACATGGGGGTCCTGGTGGACAAGAAACTTTCCATGAGCCAGCAGTGTGTCCTTGTAGCCAAGGGGCCACTGGGATCCTGGAAAGCACTGGGAAGAGCATTGCCAGCAGGTCAGGCAGGGGATTCAGTCCCTCTGCTCAGCCCTGTGAGGCACATCTGGAGTGCTGTGTCCAGCTCTGGCTCCTCAGCACAGCAGGGCCAGGGAGGTCCCGGAGCAGGGCCAGCGGAGGCTGCGCAGCTGAGCAAGGGCCTGGAGCATCTCGGTGCTCAGGAAAGGCTGAGGGAGCTGGGGCTGCTCAGCCTGGAGAGGAGCCCCAGGGAGAGGGGCCTCAGCCCTGGGTGTCCCGGTGTGCAGGGAGGGGCAAAGCAGAGCTCAGGCTCTGCTCCCTGGGGCCCAGCAATGGCACAGAGGAACGGGCAGGGAGCCATCCCCAGGCAGTTCCACCTGGACAGGAGGAAGAAATTCTTTCCTGTGCAGTGACCGAGCACTGAACAGATTGACCAGAGAGGCTGTGGAGGCTCCCTCACAGGAGACATTCCAGAACCATCTAGATGCAATCCTGTTCCATGTGCTCTAAGATGACCCTGTGTGAGCAGGGAGGTGGGAC